TCTTCCTCCATCTGCTGGCTGACTGTAGATATATTTTGAAGAGAGCACAGCCTTAAAAATCAATCTCTGAATGATGGCATAGAGTAGAATAGGCACATTGCAGCTTCAAATATATAAAATTTCTGCCATCTGTGCTGCATGTTTGATTGAAATGTTCAGGAAATAAATTTAAATTGTGTTAAATGTGGCCAAAAAAAATGATCTGATGCATTGGAAATAAGAACAGTGGCTAAGCTTTAATGACCAGAAGAGAAAAAAAGGGAGGATTCGCTAGTACTGGTAACATTCTGTTTCTTTATCTAAGTGCTGCTTATGTAGGTATGTTGAGTTTGTGAAAAGTAACCAAGTTATATAGTATGATAATTGTACATTCTGCACATATATTTTTACTTCATTGAAATATCTTTAAATATCTAATATGTAAAATTGCAGTAATTTTAAAGTTTATCTTTTATAGAAGACAGTATTAGTTTAAGTACTTAGCAATAGAGATAACAATAGGTAAAATGAATTGAAATTAAATTTTGTGTAGAATCAACCACATTTTCTGCTGATTGGATGTAGACACTTAGATAGCAGGTGTAAACTTTGGACTCCTATTATCTGTCTTGAGAAATCATTTCCCTTCAATCTAGATCTCTATGATTTTGATGCTGCCATGGTAATGTCACACACTTAATATTTCTTTTGTCAATGATGAAATATCTTGGCTTTGAAAAACAATCTGAGGGTTTTGAAGGGGCCGGGGGTGGGAGGTTGGGGGAACCAGGTGGTGGGTATTAGAGAGAGCATGGATTGCATGGAGCACTGGGTGTGGTGCAGAAACAATGAATACTGTCACGCTGAAAAGAAATAAAAAATTTAAAAAAAAATTAAAAAAAAAAAACAACTAAGTCTTTAAAACTGCAACTCAAGAGGATGGCCTTGTGCTATTTAACTTAGGTAAGTATAATATAAGCCCGTTACTGAATCAGGATTGAAGCTTTTGGTAACAATCCCCTTAAAGTCTTTTCACAATATGAATTGTGGAGTTTCATTTTTTCTAGTGTGGAATGTATATTTGTTATGGATATGTAAGATGTAAGTTCGAAAAACTCCTTATGGCTTACAACATATAGCTGCCTCAAAGATTTTATCTTGTTTTTACATATGAGTTATGGATTATAGAGTTTTCTTCACTTAATAAATAATTCATGTGTTTTTAACATAATTGTACAATGGTATCCTGGGAAATGCTTCTATATTTTAAAAATTGTTTTGTCATTTAATCCTCTTGAGATCAATGGCAGAGTACACAAAAATGATTAAATCCTAAAACTACAAAAGAAGCAATTGTGCTTCTCATGTAGGCTAGAAACATCTCAAAGTGAACAAGGAGACTGAAATCTTTTTTTACCACTCTATTCTAAGTTTTTGTTTTAAGAAATATATTTATTTTATACATAATACAGAAAATGTTTCTAAATTTAATATAAATTAGAGATATGGCTCTTTAAAGAAGAAATGAAATTAGATAAATTTCTTGTCCTGATAAAATCTTTGAGCTCACACAGTTGAGTGTGAGATGTTGGGGTTAATGTATTTTGGATAAGAATGCAAGTTAAAAGTAGTTTAAAGTAATACAAAAATATGATGGATATGCAACATTCAGAAATTTCCTCTGTTCTGGGACTCAAATCAAAAGAAGCCAGTTGGGAATGAAATTGCTACTAAAGACAGTAAGGTTGGGGAATTTTTTTTAAATTTTAGTCATATTAATTGCATGAACCTGGACAAAAAAGTTGATTCATTTGTAAGCCATTAAAATATATGTCATGATGTTAAAACTATTTTTTTTTTTACAACTCAGTTGACTTGTCCTAATAAGGAATCTTTGAACCTTCATTTCATAGGAATCAAGCTTTTAATAGATATCCTTCTTAACATTCAAAAGAATCTCAGAAATGTATTTTATTAAATGAATATGTTGTTTTCCTCAGATAATTATAATTACATATGTTTTTGGTATACAGGATCATTATGAATATTGCAAAATATGACATTGGAAAAATGAATTAGTACTGAACTGGAGAAATTTCCTCTTATTGAATTCAGTAGAATTTAAACATTTCATAAAATATCCAGTTTCATATCCCAAAGGAATCTCCTCTCCCTTACTGATAAATTGCGGAAGTAGTTACAGAAGTCCCTGTATAAAATGGTCAGAAACAGTGACTATTTTATTGCCATTCGCTAAGTATTTTATTTGGAGTTAAAAGAAGATAATGATGTCAAGTAGTTTACAATAGTTTTTTAGTTTTTGTGTGTGGAATTTTTTTTTGCAGTTTTGTAATTTAAATTTAGCTTGGGAGTATGCATGTATGAATTCACTTCTAACTTTATAATTTGGTACCCTATATAATTCATCCTTTGTTGACTGACATTTTCTTATGCTTTTGACCTTAAAAAATAGACCGACCTTAGAAAAGGAAAGTAGACCAAACTTGGATTTCAAAAGTTTAATCACTGAGTATAAATTGTGCTTAAATAGCCAGAATGTAGACAATTTTAGAAAAATTATACATTGGGGAGTCTGGGAAAAGAAAGGAAAAAAATGTAAGAAAGGAATGAAGTAAAAGAAGAAAAAAATCTTAGTCATATCGTAATTATTACAGCCATTGGAAATATCTCTACATTTTTTAACACCTGAACTGGACTGTGTGAAATGTAATAGCTTTAAAATGCATATAAAAGTTTAAAATAACGTATGACATGACATTCTTCTTAAGGAAAATATGGTCATGCTTTAGAAAAGTTTGGTGATACACTTTTGAGATGATAAACATGAGGATGTAAGGCATGGTCTGGAAAAAGATGGAAAGTAAGAAAAAAATGAAAAGACTAATAAAATTCTGAATTTTAAGGTGCTAACCATAAAACAAGAGGATAAGAGAAGAGAAGGAGAAGGACATGAGTAAGACAGAAGAGGCTACGATGGTAACAGGGGGAGCCATGCAGAGCAATGACACTAAAACAAACTACCAGGCATGAGTAGATAACATCTTTTTAAAATGGCTTGTTTTCTAGAACCCTTCTCTGTTACTGCAAAAGTAAATAAAGAATGCTACATAAACAACACAGTCATCATGCATGAGGATATACTTCCTATCTACTTGGGTCCATATCAGAGAAACGAGAATAACCAGGGTGTGTGAGACAAAAGTACACCCAAGTCTTCAGGAAAAAGGGGAAAACAGACCTAAAGTGGTCATGAGGATTTCAATCTTGAAGAGTTTACAGAAGTTTGGTGAAGTACTGAATCCCCACTCAGGTATTTAGGTCAAGTTTATGATTTTTAAAAGGCAGGGAGTCCTCAGCTGAAATCTAATTAACAGAATACTATCATAAGGAGTAATAAACAGAGAAAGAGATAAGTTTAGCAAAGAGGAATGAGTTACCTGATGGTGTAAAATACTTAATCTGAACTAAATAGATTGGAAAAAAAAAAATTGCAACTACAGATGACACAAGTTAAAGTATTATGACAATTTTTCTGGATTTTTCTTTGTTTCTATTTTTATATGACTTTCATATACCATATATTATCCTTTTGGAATGCCTGAATTTATGACACTTGAGAAATGAAATCCTAGAGTTGCACTCAGTGAAATTTTGAGTACAAATTATATGAGCAAGTTTTAGAGGCTGTTGCTGCTGACTAGCAAAACACTGAAGGAGGTTGGGTGGCAGGAATAACACATGTATGGACAATCTCAAGCAAATAGGTATCTCATGCAAGATTATACCCTTTATTTCTCATTTTTTCTTATTTTTTTAAATTATTATTATTTTTTGAAGTCAGCAATGAAAAACCACAGCACAGTAACAACTTTTATTCTTCTTGGACTGACTGATAATCCACAATTACAAGTGGTCATTTTTCTTCTCCTTCTTTTCACCTACATGTTGAGTGTCAGTGGGAATCTAACCATAATCACCCTCACCCTACTGGACTCTCATCTAAAGACACCATGTATTTCTTCCTCCGAAGTTTCTCATTTTTAGAAATTTCATTCACAACTGTCTGCATCCCCAGATTTCTCGCCAGTATGGCAACAGGTGATAAGTCCATTTCTTACAATAGTTGTGCAACACAGCTGTTTTTTACTATTGTCTTGGGTGCAATTGAATTTTTTCTTCTGGCTGCCATGTCTTATGACCGCTATGTGGCCATCTGCAAACCCCTGCATTACACCACCATCATGAGTGACAGAGTCTGCAACTTGTTGGTCTTTGTTTCATGGTTGGCTGGTTTTATAGTAATTGTTCCACCACTCCTTGTGGGTCTCCAGCTAGATTTCTGTGCAGACAACGCTATAGATCATTTCTTCTGTGATTTTTCTCCTATATTACAGCTCTCTTGCACAGACACAAACGTAATAGATTTAATGGCATTTCTCTCAGCCACTTTGACCCTCCTGGTTACACTGATATTAGTGATTCTCTCCTACGCAAACATCATCAGGACTATACTGAAGATACCTTCTTCTCAACAGAGGAAGAAAGCCTTTTCTACATGTTCTTCTCACATGGTAGTTGTGTCCATTTCATATGGCAGCTGCATTTTCATGTATGTGAAACCCTCTGCAAAGGACAGAGTATCTTTAAATAAAGGGATAGCCCTGCTCAGTACCTCTGTTACCCCCATGTTGAATCCCTTCATTTATACACTGAGAAACAAACAAGTGCAAGATGCTTTTAAGCACATGATCAAAAAGATTGAGATTTTCTCAGTGAAGTGAATCTTTTTAGTGATATTACTGAGGTTATGAGTAAAATAAAGCAAAAGTGTAGAGTGCTTCATAGAACTCTTCAATGCTTATATTTGAAATAATAATAACTATTTTTCTTGCTATAATTTTCATGGTGGCCTGACTAATCTCCGAAGCCTAATTCTCTCTCTTTATCTGTCCCTTATTTAGGCCAAAATAATTTACCTTTTTATTTGGCGCTTTTATCTATTTCTTCTAAAAGTTCTCTAAGAGGAAGACAAAATTAGACTTTAATTTTTGCATGTTTTTTTCCACTGTTCTGGAATTCAGCGATTCAATTTTACACATATTCTATATAGAGTTAATGCACCACCTAAATTTGTAAAACTTAGCTAAAAAAACACACATTTCTAGAAACCCTCAAATTGTCACTGACTCAAGGCAAAATAAAAAATGGGAATTGACCTATAACTCTTAGAGATATTGAATCACTAACCACTATATCTTTAAATAATATAGAATTTTTTTGTTTCTGTAAATCGAGGTCATGGCAGTCATTTCAGATAATTAATTTGTAAATTTTTTTTACTTATTATTATTATTCTTTATCATATACTCTACCAGTAAAAAAAAAAAAACACAAACAAAACCAATTTCACAGTAAATGTATACTTGTTTATAAATTATATATTCACTATAGTACAGAATATTTAAACATGTTAATAGAAAAATAGAAATTAAGCAAGGACATTAGGCAAAAGAATCAATGTATTTTATAACACTACTGTATGATATAAATTAATTTTAATGTTAATGGTACCACTATAAGATGCAATTTCATAAAACATATATTATTATATTTGTAAATATCAGTTTATTATGTGATAAGTTATATGAAAGTCTATCCTAAGCCTCTCTGAACTTGGTACTTAGAAGGGTCTTCATAGTTCAAAACTAATGCTTCACAATGCATGTTGCTCACATCAAAAGGAATGAAAGTGACAATATTCTTCTGTCCTACTTGAATGTTTTTGATATTGAATTACTACAATTCTGTCTGCTTTAATGTTAATCTGCTGCCTAAAATTTTATTTTTATATAAACATTTTTAAAGTGCACAGAAAGTTTTTATTTGGAATATTTTAATAGAGATGATAATAATTCTAAGTTTTCCAAATGGGTGGATGAGCATTTTTGTAATTATTGAGCTTATATAATCTTCATTAACAGCAACTATGGAAATAATTTCGAACAATCAATTTCTAAATTTCTTTTGCTTATTTTAACTCTCTTTTGAAAACTGGTTACTTTTTCACATACTGTTAAGATACCATGCATTAAGGATGGCACATGATGTGATGAGCACTGGGTGTTCTATGCAGTCATTGAACACTACATCAGAAACTGATGATGTACATATATTGGCTAATTGAATTTAAATTTAAAAAGTAAATAAAATACCCTGTATTTTGGAACAGAATGGTAGAGAAATACCTTCATGAAAGCATACGCTATTGATGGGTATTTGTTATCATATAAAAGAGAAAACTGGAATATGTCTACTTGTAAATAAAATCGTATATTTCTCCTAATGTGTATTTTAAAAAATACTTTGCCTGAGAAGTTCTGAGTCCCTGATACAGTTTTTTAAAATATATCTTAACATACCATTATATGCTTCCTTCATTCTCCGATCCTCCCTACTCTTTGAACCCTCTCCTCCTTTCTCTTCTGAACTTTCAAATGTAAAAACCATTCTTAGGGGGCGCCTGGGTGGCTCACTGGGTTAAAGCCTCTGCCTTCGGCTCAGGTCATGATCCCAGGGTTCTGGGATCGAGCCCCACATCGGGCTCTTTGCTCAGCGGGGAGCCTGCTTCCTCCAATCTCTCTCTCTACCTGCCTCTCTGCCTACTTGTAATCTCTGTCTGTCACATAAATAAATAAAAATCTTTAAAAACAAAACAAAACAAAACCATTCTTAGATGGAAGGCTGTACAAAAACAGCCTGTGGGCTTGTACTGAAGATTTTGGTTTGCTTGCCCATGGTCTAAATAATAGCAAAAGGCTAGAGATGCCCCTATAGCAAGGATGAAGGTCTGATTTCTTATCTGTTTTACTATTTCAAGGTGATGCAAGCTATCTGTTATATTCTATTAATCCCAAAACACATCTAAAGTTAAATAACTTAGTATTTAGTGCCAATATTGTTTTTTTTTATTTCTTTTTAGCATAACAGAATTCATTATTTATGCACCACACCCAGTGCTCCATGCAATATGTGCCCTCCCTAATACCCACCACCTGGCTTCCCCAACCTCCCACTCACCACCCCTTCAAAACCCTCAGATTGTTTTTCAGAGTCCATAGTCTCTCATGGTTCACCTCCCCTTCCAATTTCCCTCAACTCCCTTCTCCTCTCCATCTCCCCTTGTCCTCCATGYTATTTGTTATGCTCCACAAATAAGTGAAACCATATGATAATTGACTCTCTCTGCTTGACTTATTTCACTCAGCATAATCTCTTCCAGTCCCGTCCATGTTGCTACAAAAGTTGGGTATTCATCCTTTCTGATGGAGGCATAATACTCCATAGTGTATATGGACCACATCTTCCTTATCCATTCATCTGTTGAAGGGCATCTGGGTTCTTTCCACACTTTGGTGACCATGGCCATTACTGCTATAAACATTGGGGTACAGATGGCCCTTCTTTTCACTACATCTGTATCTTTGGGGTAAATACCCAGTAGTACAATTGCAGGGTCATAGGGAAGCTCTGTTTTTAATTTCTTAAGGAATCTCCACACTGTTCTCCAAAGTGGCTGCACCAGCTTGCATTCCCACCAACAGTTGAAGAGGGTTCCCCTTTCTCCACATCCTCTCCAACACACGTTGTTTCCTGTCATACTAATTTTGGCCATACTAACTGGTGTAAAGGTGGCATCTCGATGTGGTTTTAATTTGAATCTCCCTGGTGGCTAGTGATGATGAATATTTTTTCATGTGTTTGATAGCCATTTGTATGTCTTCATTGGAGAAGTGTCTGTTCATGTCTAAGAAATGGCCGTAACTTAAAACACAGTTGCATTTGGTGTGACCACCTAATTCAGCGTATGGATCTACTGTTATCCTCTAAAATTTGCCTGGGGTAGAGCAGGCAAATATTTGAATTAAATGGGTATGTGGAATGGATTACCATTCCTGCATCATTTTTTAAAGTATTTGATGGTAGTACCAAGTACTGCAGTTTTGCCAGCGAAAGATGCTTTGATTTATTATTTGTTTATGAAGGTGAACTTCATGTCTTTCTACTTGGTCCTGAGCATATCTGTTTTAACAATATATCAGGATGATTTTTCACATGCAGTAGAATCAATGTAAGTGAGACTAACACATGACTACCACTTATCAATAAAACTTTCTCCACCCCATTATTCTCCACTCTAATAAGTGTGTACCCTGACATTCTATCATCATTATAATTAAGATTAGCTCAGAGATGAGGTGAAACAATCCCAGAAAGTTCCAGATTTTACCCTCTTCAGTGCATAGTTTTCCTGACAAACGAATTTATATCCTTTCAGGAAAACTGGAAGGAGATTAAGATATTAATATCAATGTATGACTCTTCCCCAAGGATAACTTCCTTCATGGGTTCTGGCTCTATGAACTCACAAAAGTCTTTATTTGGATAAAAAGTCTAACACCATTCGATGGCTATATCATCCTTCCTTTCACCCAAACTAGAGTTCTTTCAATTATATAGATCAGATAGGAACTTAATGGATTGTCTGTTTATTTTAGCCTTAAGAGCAACATGATGTCTTTTTCGAACTAAAGCATATCACACAATTTTGATATCCAGTCTAACCGTACCAACTAATAAGTAACCATACCCATCTTACCAATGTCAGCTAAGTGCTATTACATGACCTCTGCCTTCCCATGGTCCCATCATTTCTGGTGAAATGGGGAAGCTCACTATAATGAAATTATCCCCCACTTTCACTTCAGACCAGCAATTACAATACCTTTCAATGTTGTTAATACCCTCCTATGCATTAAAAAATGTTCCATATTGCTGTCATTCTACATCTTTGGACTTATTTCTCTAATATTTCAGCTTTAATCAGGATAAGTCAATCACAAATTCAAATAGTTATCTAATTGAACAAAAAGTTATAGCCATCATCAGAAGTTTGAACCCTTCCATTAAATCCACAATCACTACTCAGTCCTCACTCTGATCTATGATATGCTGGTAAACTAGCTTTCTGAAAGTAAAAGCCTAATTTAGAGCCAAAAACAAACAAACCAACAAACCCAAAATCATTAAAAATATATCAATAAATTCACCCTGATATAGAATTATATTTACTTTCTTTCTGGTATATCACCCTTAGAATCTATTCTCACATATATTCCCCCAGGCTTTTGTCAATGTAAGTTGGTGATTATTGTTATGGTCTTTTTTTTTTTTAAGATTTTATTTATTTGACAGACAGAGATCACAAGTAGGCAGAGAGGCAGGCAGAGAGAGAGGGGGAAGCAGGCTCCCTGCTGCGCAAAGAGCCTGATGCGGGGCTCGATCCCAGGACCCTGGGAGCATGACCTGAGCTGAAGGCAGAGGCTTTAACCCACTGAGCCACCCAGACTCCCCATGCTATGGTCTTAATATATACCCCAAAATTCATATTTTGAAATTCTAACTCCCAAAGTTGATGGTATTAGGAGACAGGACTTTGGGAGGTGGTTAGATCATGGGGGTGAAGCCCACCAATAGGATTAGTGCTCTTATAGAATGGACCTCAGAGAATTCTGTCCTCCTCCTTCCACCATGTAAGCATACAATGAGAAAACACCAAACTGGAAGAAGGCCTTTATCTGCCCACACTGACACTATGATCTCAGTTTTCCATGCTCCAGAACCGTGTGAGATACATTTCTTTGTATGTATGACACACAGTCTTCTGATATTGTGTTATAGTAGTCCGAATGGACTAGAACAATTACTATAATACTTTTTGTTA